GTCAGGGATCCGTTGTGCGGCGCCGGTTGGATCTGCAGCACTCGGCACATCAGCGGGTAGATGTGGACGCTGTCGAATGGCTCGGAAAGGAAGTTCCTGCGGAAGTCGGGTCCGAAGGCCCTGAAGATGGTCTTCATATCCATCTCGCCGCTGTGGTAGCCGTGGTCGCCTTTGTTCACGTATACAATGAACCTCTGTGGAAACAAACAAGTGCTATGTCATAACCTTACTTCTTGCTTGGCACTGACCTTTGACCTCGCTAATCCACAGCTGATCAAACTGTCATGTGACCTCAGAATCAACATGTCACGTGAGAATCGTGAACTCTTGTAATGTACACAACCTTTGACCTTGCTGATCAGTGACCGGTTAGAAAGAGGTGAAACACTCACGGAGTTCAGGTTGAATCCCAGGTCGCCCACGACCACGATGGGAGGCAGCCGTCGGCTCTTGGCCAGATGGAAGCTCTCAGGGAGCTCATGCTTCTTGTACACTGTCAAGTTGGGTGCATTGGACAAGGCATTGAACACCTCCTGCTCCCTCCCAGGCCGCGGTGTCAGGATGCCGAACCCGCCGTAGTCCAAGATCTCAAAGCTGGCGAGCTTGATCAGGTTCAGGTATTTGTTGAGAACGATCTCGTCCACCTGTGGCCGCTTCTTCACGGTGGTCATGCCATGGTCGGAGGTGATGATGACGTTCAGGCTGTCGCCCAGGCCATGGCGGAGGATGGCCTCCCGCAGGTAGCCGATGGTGCGGTCAATCTGGCGGATGATCTTCTTTCTGTCAGGGTGGTCCGGACCCTTGGCGTGGCCAACGTTGTCTGGCTCGCCGTAGTACAGCGTCACCAGGTGGAAGTCTTCATCGGAGAACCAGCTCATCACCTGGTCTATGTTTTGCTGCCACTCTGTCTCGTTGTCGTCTGGGTAACCCGATTCCTCCAAGACTACCCGGTTGACCACCTGGCCGCTGTAGTTAGCCCCGCCCCCAGGGAAGTAAAAGGACGCCGTCTTCAGACCCTGAAACAATGTGGGGAAACAAACTGTGAGCCTGAGAGTGCCTGAGCAGGTAGTGATCAGAGTACAGAGAACCTGAGCAGGTAGTGAACACAGTACAGAGAACCTGAGCAGGTAGTGATCAGAGTACCTGAGCAGGTAGTGATCAGAGTACCAAGAGACTGAGCAGGTAGTGATCAGAGTACCTGAGCAGGTAGTGATCAGAGTGCCTGAGCAGGTGATCAGAGCACCTGAGCAGGTAGTGAACAGAGTACAGAGAACCTGAGCAGGTAGTGAACACAGTACAGAGAACCTGAGCAGGTAGTGATCAGAGTACCTGAGCAGGTAGTGATCAGAGTACCTGAGCAGGTAGTGATCAGAGCACCTGAGCAGGTAGTGATCAGAGTGCCTGAGCAGGTGATCAGAGCACCTGAGCAGGTAGTGAACAGAGTACAGAGAACCTGAGCAGGTAGTGAACACAGTACAGAGAACCTGAGCAGGTAGTGATCAGAGTACCTGAGCAGGTAGTGATCAGAGTGCCTGAGCAGGTGATCAGAGCACCTGAGCAGGTAGTGAACAGAGTACAGAGAACCTGAGCAGGTAAGACCACATTTGGTGATCTGGTGAGTTTATATATTCAGTTCATCGTTAAACTCACCTGGTTCTGAGCTGTGATCCATAACGGTTGAACTCCGTTATCCCACCACTCCGATCTGGTCAGAGTCTGCTTGTGAGGAACCTTTTGGTTCGTCTGGGCATTGAACATCATGTTGTGGACGACTTCGTGATCCTCCACCCATCTGCCTGTGAGACAGGAAGTCAGGAGGCTGGAAAAGTTAATGTGTATGCCAGCAGCAGAAGTAATAGGCTAATGTCAGCCTATAGAGGTACACCAGGGTCACGTGGTTTCATATTATGCTCTTAATAGTACTACTGTTCTACTAGTAATAGTAATAGTAGAAGTAGTAGTAGTATTGGTAGCAACAGCAGTGGTAGTATTAGTAACAGTAGTCATTAGTAGTAGTAGCAGCACTAGTACTACTACTTGAGTGGTCGGAAGACTAGAAAAAGCGCTATACAAGTACAGTCCATTTACCATTTACCATTACTAGTATGAGTAGTAGCAGTAGCAGTAGTTGCAGTGATAGCTGTAGTACAGTGATGTTACCGGTGATGGTGGTGAAGTGGGACGGAGACGTCATGGTGAGCATTGGGGGGGTCAGGTACTTGGCCTTGACTCCGTCCTGCAGCAGCTGGTCCAGGTGCGGCGTGTCGACGTCCTGGTCGTAGTCCCACCTGAAGCCATCGAAGGAGACCAGCAGCAGCTTGTTCCTCTGCGCTGCCTTGCTCAGTGGCTTAGCGGCAGCGCAGAGCAGCGTGGCGCCGAGCAGGAGGAGCTCCGTCTTCATCTTGGTCTTCACCCGTGTGAGTCCTAGCCTGCTGCTTCCTTCGTCTTTAAGCTGTCGCTGATTACAGATCAGCTGAGGGGCCCAATAAGAGACCTTTATACTGGAGCCGTATCATGTGGAGCTCGCTGATAGCAGCTGGAGCTCTGACCGTTATATAATTATAATTATTATTATCATTGTTAATCTATAAACCCTGACACGTGATGTTCCTACCCTCTACAGAACGTTCCCTTACTTCATTTGTAATCATTTTAATATTTTCCTCTTCGTTATAGATTCAAAGTTTGCAGATTTTACTCAGGTCAGGTTTATTAAATAATTTGAATTATATTAAAACAATAAACGCTACCGTATACAAAGGAGAGCAGGATTATTCCAACCGGGGCGCAAACTAAACGAAACAAGAACTACTCTCAGGTCAAGGTCGTATCTGACAGTTTCAAGGTCTCGTCATGTGAACAGATCGTCAAATAAAACAGTTGGGGTTTTATTTCTCATCTAGTTCTCTCAGTATCTGAAAAGAAACTATATAAACAATTGTATGTATTAATGTCCTCAAGGACACAACCATCAGGATACAACTGTAATTATACTTGTATCACATGTATACCATAACATCGTATATCACCTACGGCCACTACATCTCCCCCTTTAAGATGAAGGTTTAACTGCTTTGTCAGAACCTCAAGATGACAAAGTGCATTCAACAATATGGCCACTTTCCAATTGCCCAACTTATCTTATAATTTCAGGAATTCACTCAAATCCGTATTAAAACTTAAAAGTCTGAACTGGGAAACTAAAGGAAGAAATTATACTTTATAGTAGCCATTGTATGAGATTACTTACTAGATGCATTAAACCAGACTTTTCGACGAGACGTTACACTTTTCAAACTGAACATTAGGAATTTACTTTTGTTTGAACATAATTTCATGTTTTTCTCTTCTGTCCTTCGTAGTGGGTGTTAAGTGTTCAAAGGTCCAGTCTTTCAGAGCCCTGGAAGGTCTCCCTGATGGGGTCATTGACATGTCACTTGATGTTGGGGGCACTGGCACTTCCCTGAGGTGTGAACGCTCGCGTCGCAGCTGTCCTCCATCCGGGGACACGGCCCAAAAACATTTGTCGTAGCCATAAATTCATGGTTCAGACAATATGTCAGAAGAAGAAAGGAGGAGAAAGGAAAGAATTATGAGTCAGCACCCAGATGTGATAAAAAGGAGGGGGAACAGGTGACACTGGATGAACCTTTTACCATGGCACAGATTGTGAGAGCAATGAACCGAGCAAGACCCACACCACCGGGGGAAGACCAGGTACTGTACATTATGCTATGAGTTTTAGAGGACGGGAAGTTACTGAGCACATGGAAACAGGTAGCTGTGATTCCAATCAGAAAACCCAGCAAGGATCCATCAAACCCCACCAGCTTTGCACCAACAGCGCTAACATCCAACACGTGACAGAAAGGTTTACATATGAGCTTGAGGAAAAGGGAATGATGGGAAGTGGTCAGAGGGGATTTAGGAAGGGAAGGAGAACATCCAATAATCTCGGGGTCAGTGGAGATGTTGGCAGTACTGATTGCACTGCGATGGGTGGAAGAAACAAAGCAGGAAAAGGAGTTGATATGCTCTAATTCATCGTCAACCCTGACGAGTAGAAGGCCATTCGAACAGCCAGAAGGATCTACTGTACGAAGTCCTCCAGTTAGCTAAAAGGATAAATCATCAGGGAGGTCAGGGGAAATTCCTGTAGGCTCCAGCGCATGTCGGGGTTAGTGGGAATGAGAGGGCAGACGAGTCGGCAAAGAGGGCACAAAGGAAAGGAAACATAGAAATGCACATTACTACCAGCAAAGCAGAGGTCAAGTGTATTGTTTGAGAAAAAATCAACAAAATGTGGCAAGAAAGGTGTGACAGAGAGGAGAAAAGAGACATCTATAGCGTCTAGAGAGTGTCAAAGTGATGAGGGTAGGCAGTAGGAACAGGAGAGAAGAGACAGTGATGACAAGGTGAAGGTTAGGCCATTGTGCTCTAAACATGATAGGAAAACATCAGACGGGATGGACAGGAGTTGGTTGAGCATGTCGTTTTGAGTTGAGATGCAAAGAGAAAGGATGAGGAATCAGCTGAAGCATTCAGGGGGGCATGAATGCACATTACAGGCACTACTGACTGTGGGTGAGAGAGCACAGGGGTATTTTATTGGATATGATGTGCACTGTTGTCTTGTCTGTCTACTGTCGCGCACTAACCGCCAAGACAAATTCCTTGTATGTTTGACATATTTTGGCTAATAAATGTTTCCTGATTCCTGATGGAAATGCGGGGATGTGGTACAAAGGTCATTGTATACATATGTGTGTATGGTAGGAATAGTTGAGTTGAGTTTTTTTTAAATATCAAAAAATATATATATATATACATTAATTATTTCTATTTATTTATGTGGGAGGGAGGGGTATTTCGGGAGCAGGATAGGAACGTAGTGTCTGATCCACACTCCGGTAGGTGGCGGTAATGTTCCAACAAGATGAATGCCGACTGCCGTAAACTCAAACGAGGAAGTAACGGGAAGCACTTTTTGGCAGATTACTTCCGGTAGGCGTGAGGTAAAGTCCTTTTTATTTTACATTAAAATAATTATAGATAATTGTCTTCGCATTGTCTCAGATTGTAATTGGTACGTGATAAGCTGAAATACATCCGGCGAGACGGTAAGTGGCGCGAGAAGCTTTCACGTGACCTGTTATCCTCTGATAGCTGGCTAGCTCCCGTTAGCTACGCTACTAGCATTAGCACGTAGCTGGTGTGTTCGTGTAACCAGTGAAGGGAGATCCTTCCTCATCACCACAGTATTTAGGACGTCCGGGTCCTGGTTTACCCGAGACGGCCCAGGTTCTCCAGAGGTCTCAGCCCGGCTGTGTGCTGGGTTATCCCCAAGAACCTTGTGCCTTTCCGGTGGTTACATCGAGATACTTGGACCTACACTAGCCGCGCTTCGTGGCGGCCATGTTTGTAGTCCTTTGCTTTACATTTGTAAATGACTAAATATTGATCGATCTTCTTTTTTTCCTGGATCTTCTAAATATATACATTTTAATATGACAGTCTGAACACATGTGTCCTCGTGTTTACCTCATTTAACCATACTTTCACTGGTTATGACGTTTTCAACGGCACATTGCAATGACTTGTGGGTAATTGCCCTGGGCAAAGTCTGCATCTAATCTGACTTACAGAAAGAGTTCATAAAGGGCTCGAAAGGTCTACTGGGACGATGGTACAGAACCAAACCCTCACGTAGTCTGCAGCTGGATCGCAATATTTAAATAGTGACGTTTCATTGGTCCGCTCCTGTGAATTAACGATCGTGACGTAGAAACGCAGATCATGTGACTAACCGTTAGCATCACTCGTTTGTGTTGATAACGTTTCCCTTTGAACCTGGTTGTTTGTGTGTCTGCACGACTCACACTGTAACAACACATGAAGCATCTGACGTCACCAACAAGCGTCTCCGTCCATCACAAGGACGCAGCTCAGTGGATCCCTAAACACCGCCTTGTCCTTTCCTAACTCCTCATCAACTCTCCTAACCACCTTTGCTTCACCCTGTGACCTCTTCCACAGAGGTCAAGGAACGGTGGTTAGGAATAGACGTTAGGTCATTTTAGGACGCTTCAGATGGGTTTGGGCCTCACTGGTCATTCTTCTCTGGTTCCATTCAGACATGTCCTCCCTGTGGAGACTGAGACCGGCGCTGACATCACTGTTTCAGGGTGAGTTTACTCCCAAACGTGTCATTGCTCGTCTCCAGGGAGCGAGTCTCGGAGAGTCATGGGTATTGTAGTATTTGACATCTAAACCCTAGACTTAAAGATTGTTTATCTTCCTTCTCTTCTCCTTAGCGTCCCAGCATGCATCTGCCTGCATGGGTCCCGTCCTCTCCAGGACTATGGCAACCCTGAACCAGATGCACCGAATGGGGAAACCCAAAGCGCCACTCAAGTCCATTGGGGCCACTTTCGGCCGCCCCCAGCTGAAGGCCGTGGTGCTGAAGACCATGATCCGGAAGCCCAAGAAGCCCAACTCCGCCAACAGGAAGTGCGCCCGGGTCCGCCTGTCCAACGGGAAGGAGGCCGTGGTCTTCATCCCCGGGGAGGGACACAACCTGCAGGAGCACAATGTGGTGCTGGTTCAGGGGGGGAGGACGCAGGACCTTCCAGGGGTCAAGCTCACCGTGGTCAGGGGAAAATACGACTGTGCTCACGTGGTGAAGAAGAAGCAGTAGAGGAGGGGGCAGCCATGTTTGGATGGACATGATTATAAACACGTGAAGAAGACAAGGCATGGAGGCTCACTGGGTGGGAGTTTGGTTCTAAGTCAGGTTTGGATCTGGATCAGGTTCATCATGTTCCAGAATAAAATCAGACATGTCATTGATCCTGAAGCTGTTTCTGTTCCAAAGTGTTGAGCATATGAAGAGGAATTGTATTGAAGTGGTCAATGTAACGCACATCTGCTACGTCTGATTGGCTGACAGAAGCAGCGATCGATTATTATGGATCCGGTATGAAGGACGTGATCCGATGACGGAGGCTTAATATTTAACCGTTGAACCTTTCTAATCATTGGAAGCAGCATCGGTTCAACAACCACCACTAGTACTCAGCTGTGGTATTAACAGGTACTTTATTGATCTGAGATTTGTTTCTTTACCAGAGTATTGGCATAGTGTGGTTGTAGTACCACAGTAGTATTAGTGTTCCTTTGGTGTATAGAAGTGTTAACTAAATACACAAATGATACATTCTGTCACACGGTAGAAGTTGTTGTGCGAAACAGAAAGCTGCAGCCATGACGTCATTAAATTACAACTAAAGAGGAGCGTCAATCTAACAGATGTTACTATACCTTTAGTTCCTGCACAATGAGCATAATTCAGAAATAAAATGATTAATAATAATTTTCAATTCAATATTATATACACAGCTCTTCCAATTGTGTAGAAGTACCACAGTGCTGTAGTAGTAGTACTACAGTGTGGTAGCCTCAGTTGAGGCTGCGGTCCTGATGAAGCTTCTGTCAACTCTCCCTGACTCCAACATCACTGACACCATCCTGTAGATACTCGCTCTACAACATCAGGAGACACGTCCTCTTCTCACTCAGAAGGTACTGATTCAGGCTCTGGTCGTCTCCCTCCTGGACTACTGTGACTGTCTCCTGCAGGTCTCCTGCTACCACCATTCCACCTCTGCAGCTCATCCAGAATGAAGCAGCTCCGCTGGTCTTTAACCTGATCTAAAGCAAATTGTAAATAAGCTTATTTAATGAAATTGCACTCGTTTCCTTGTTCTTCTGAGCTTGTATCCTTATGGTTGAAATGCACTTATTGTAAGTCGCTTTGGATAAAAGCGTCAGATAAATGACATGTGATGTAAAATGGGGTCGACGGTGGCGTATGGAGTAGAGAGGGAGCCCCGGCTGTGTGTCCCGGAGCAAGACGGGCAAAAATGTAAAGGCCATGGGTTAAAAATGTAAGTCACTTTGGGTAAAAGTGTCTGCTAAATGAGCTGTAATGTAAAAGCTTGGTGGGGAAACGGTTTCCCTCTGTCTTGTCGAGCAGGCTCAGAGGAGCATCCTCCGCACCTGATGAAGGCAAAGACCCGCCCCCCTGCTGGAGGAGCACCTGGGAGGACCAGCTGGGTTACGTTTTATTGATTTACTATCTTCACAAACAAAGTACATTTTGGTTTCACGTAATGATTAGTCAGTTCGTGCAGAGACGAGACGTAGCTGAAGATGGAGACGCTTTTTGCATTGGAAGTAAAACAAACAGAATAACTGAGCAGAGGAATTCCTCCACGCGTCAAACAAGCAAACGGACCACTTTAGGACTGATAGTTGAAAAATATTTTTTAATTAAAAAAAAAAAGAAAAACATTTCCCCCAGCCGTCGTGTAATACCTTCGCACCCCACCAGAGGGTCGCGCCCCACAGTTTGAGAACCACTCTGGAATCCTTCATCAACCGCTTTACTGCCCGTGAGTTGGCTTCGTTCGTCCCGGTCGGTGTTTGCAGCGGACCGACGCGGGGGTCCCGCCGGAGGAGAACACTCACCGACATGAGATGATCACACGTGTTTGCCGTGGAGAGTTCACACTAAACTATCACTAGTACTATAACTAGTACTCGTGTACTGTGACCTGGTTCCCACAGTTTAGCGGCCTTCTAGTTGGCAGTTTACGACAGTTGTCGTCGATCGGCGGTGACGTAAAGTGGGGGGAAGTAAACCTGCGGAGATCTGCTAGCCGACAGAAAACAACGCGCAGGTAAGACGTTTAACTCGTTTGACTCTTGCCGATGATTTAAACATGACGTCATCTCTTATATGGCTGTGGGGCGTGGTCGCGCGCACAGCGGAAGTTAGCTTCCAGCGTTTCCATTTAGCTGTTAGCTCAGAGGAAGTTGCTAGCGCGGCGGAAGCACATGACGGATCGGCGACGTAATGTTTAGTCTGCTTCCTTTACGTATCTAACAGTAGTGTGTGTGTTCATCACCGCGCCGGGCTCCGGCTAAAATACGGTAGATTGAACGTTTCCTCCGTCCCCGGTGACGCTGCTTTGACGTCATGATGGATCGTGATGACTTTTTAAAGCGTCAAAAATGTTGTCCATAAAGTCATTTTGGATCCCTTTTAAATTGATCAATAACGGAGACCGGATTTTACTTTTATTAACGTGTATAAATGACGTCATTAAGTACTTTAAAGCTGCAGTGCCTCGATGATTCCTGATGTCGGTCTCTGCCTCCCTCCAGATGGAGAACTACAAGAAGACGCGCTCGGTGGAGCTCCCGTCCGTCTGTCCTTTCCCCGCCCTCCCCCCCGACACGCCGGAGGTCCGAGTGAGAGACGGCAGTAAGATCCGTCACCCGCTGCGCTTCGCTCTCGGCCACATGGAGGAGAGGCGGCGAGGGGCCCAGGGAGCGGGCGGGGCCACGGGGGGACAAGCGCTCTGCAGACAGATCGTCCTCACGGCCAGCGGAAAAGGTGTGTCCAAAGCCATCACGTGTGCAGAGATGGTTAAGCGGCGGGTGGGGGGCCTCCATCAGCTCACCCAGCTGCAGTTCAGCACCGTGGAGGAGGTCTGGGACCCTCTGGAGGCCACCAGCGGCTTGGACAGCCTCACCGTCAGCAGGAACCTTCCCAACATCTGGATCCTCCTCTCCAGAGACACGCTGGACCGCAGCCAGCCCGGCTACCAGGAACCGGGTCGTCATGACACCCTGTGGGCCCACGAGGAGGAGGGGGGACCACCGAGATCGGGACACAAGAGGAAGAAAGCAGGAGGGGGAGGAGGAGCTGGAAGAGGACGGGGACCCGGTCGTGAGACTGTTCGGTCCAGGGAACCGGCCAAAGGACCGATCTAAATTAACTGTGGATGTAAAGAGGACATAACGACAAATAATGGGACGTTGAGAGGACATTTAGACAATTGGTGGACGTTTGGAGGATCTGAGAAATCTATATTTGTAGTTAATTTACTAAAACCGGATACAACGTCTCAACACAGATATTTAAATTCACTCAATACGTCTTTATTATTTTGTAATAATATTCATTTTCTGTTCCAACGATGTAAACGATGAAATCTTGAGTAAAATAATTAAAGATGTTTTCTCTGATTCCGCTGGTGTCAGTTTAGGAAAACCTCATTCTACTGCAGCAGGGTCTCTGTGAGTCCTGGTCCTGGCGGCCGGGTCTCTGGTCCTGCAGGAGGAGACGCTGCTGCCAGGATCCGTGTAGACTGTTGTCTCATTTACTGAGACTGGTTCAGTTCAAACGTGTGAATCTAATGTTCTGGTGACCTGGAGGATAAGTAGGAAGTGGACCTGTGTACTAGACCTGGTCTCCACGAGGAGCGTGGAGGCGCCGACCCGTCTTCCTTAGACGCCCCATGTGTGACATCTGGTGTCCAGGTTGATCCTGTAATCCCCCGGGCTGCTTACAGGATTACCGGATCTCTGCCGGGAGCAGCAGACCAAGATGATGGAGGCGCTCAGGCTGCTGCTGGTCTGCTGGCTCCTGTTTGGTCTGGAACCGGTACCGGCTCAGGTACGCCACCCTCTGCCCGTGTTGTGGATGATGCCCGCGGGCTCCGTGTCGGGGGGGGGCAACCTGCAGGCCGGCGTGGCTACTGCGGTCCGACTGGCTTTAGAGGATCTGAAGAAACAAGCGGCTCCTCTGGGGGACTACGAGATCCAGTTCCATGAGCTGGACTCACAGGTGGGTCGACCAGAACCATTTCTGACTGTCAGTACAGAGTATTCAGTACTACAGCGGAAAAAGCGTTCAATGACTAGAAGTAGATGCACTTGTGATACCCTGATGTGTGTGTGTGTGTGTGTGTAATATATATATATATATATATATATATATATATATATATATATATATATATATATATAACATTATAGTCATATAGCTTGTGAGCATGCCAGGCGAAATTCTCACAATAACTCAAATAAATAACCCGTCAGATATCAAAACACATTTTGATATCTGACAAAGATCTGTTTGACCTTACATACACACACACATACTGTACATACACACATATACTGTATATACACACATATACTGTATATACACACATACATACTGCACACATACATCTAATTATTTGCCCAATACAAAATAAACAAACCAACATAATATAACGAAAGGCAGGAAGAGGCCAACTGGGCTTATTTGAGGCCCCCCCCATAAAATATAAATATATTTTACAAAATGACAAACAATAGACGAAAGAAAATAACACTAATAAAAACAAGCAATTAGAATTTCTTTCAAAACTTTTCATTCCATAATTTGGTTCCCTTAAATCTAACAGGACGTTGAGTTGTGCTAGTCAGTGATTTAGGGGGATGAAGATGTGAGTGAATTAACTGTGAAGTAGGACTTGAAATGATCAGCATCTTAAAGATAAGAAATGAAAGGTAAAGAAATATTAACGTCATAAATAGTGAGAATCTGCAGTTTATGCAATAAAGCAGCCGCTGAGTTGTGCGACTGACCGAGTTGCAATCCAACAAAACGTTTCTGAAGGACCAACATTCTTTGCAGAGAAGTAGGACAAGTACTTGCCATGGAATATTCTGGGTTAGGGTCAACAGGTCATCACAGCAGGACTGCCACTACGTCATCAGAGAGCTTTTTAAACCTTTATCCAGGACTTACACTCCCTCAGTCTTATCCCGCAAATTCAACCTCCGATGTTATAAGATATATACATATATCTATACGCACATATAGTATGTATATCTGAACCTGTCTGCACTGGTAGTGGTCTTCTGTCCCTGAGGAGGCCTTAGGTGGACCCACTGGGTAAAGTTCTCCTTGTGTTCTCAGTGTGACTCTGCTGAATCCATCAAAGCCCTGTTTGATGCCATGTGGGTGGAGCCTAACTACCTGCTGCTGTTTGGGGGGGTGTGTCCATCTGTGACGGCGCTCATCGCCCGCTCTCTGCCGGCCCTCAATCTGCTGCAGGTACACAGCCTGTCCACTAGACCTGTTTAACTTCACCTCTGCCTTTGTCTTGTGCCAGTGTGTCAACCTACGTCGTCATACCACCAGTGTCCATAGCCAAAGTTTGTCTTGTCTCGTGATCACCGTTTTACCTCGTGTGAGTGTTTTTTCTTTAGGGCTCTTTTTTGTTCCTGTGCCCGGCCTCAGTTCTTGATAGTAGCTCTGTTTTCCTCCTTTGGAGCGTCCTTAGTTTTTGGATTTTGTTTCGTACTCGGTATGAAATAAACTGTCACCCTATCAACCTGCTCTGTAGTCTGCTAAACCCGGTCCACATCATCCAGTCCAATAAACCCAATCCACGTCACTCTGTCCACTTCACCTAGTACACATGACCTGGTTAACTTCACCTGGTCTAAACTAAACCAGGTTCACCGGTCCAGTAAAACTGACCCACCACTAACAAACAAACTTGTCCCCCGGTGTCTCAGGTGTCCTTCTCAGACTCGTCCCCCAGCCTGTCCAACAGGAAGTGGTATGGCAACCTGTTCAGCACGGTGCCTTCGGACCGGGTCTTGAACCAGGCCACGGTGAAGCTGCTGCAGCGCTTTAAGTGGACCCGGGTCGGAGTAATCTCTCAGGAGCAACCCCGACTCTCAGAGGTGATCCTCTACTCCGGTCACAGATCTTCTCACATGTCTTCTGTGGCCTCATGTGTGTGATTCTTTGTTCTGGTCCAGGTGAAGAAAGATCTGAGCCGACAGCTGCTGAAGGCAGATATTCAGGTGGTTTCTTCAGAAAGTTTCTCTGACAACGTCTGCAGCAGCTTGAAGAGGCTGAAGGTATGACGCAGGTTTGGTCCAGGACCTGATGGACCCCTTTTACTCGGTCCTCTCAATGCTGCTGCTTTGATTTACAGGAACGAGACGTTCGGGTCATCATCGGTCACTTTGAGGAGGAGTCTGTCTCCGAGGTTCTCTGCTGCGTAGGTTTCTCCATAGACTGAAGTAGGATGGTCCGTCTCGTCCTTCATCTAAACTTAAATCTGAATACCTTTCATACTTTAAGAATACTTACTGTACCCTGAAGGCCACTATAGTTCTTCAACACTTGTAGTAAGGAAGGGTCAATCTGTGACCTCTGTCCTTCAGGCTTACAGGCTGAACATGTTTGGAGCCCGGTACCAGTGGCTGGTGGTTGATGGTGGAACATCTGGATGGAGGTTTGAAAAGCAGGTTCCCGGATGTACGGCCAACAGTCTGCTGATGGCAGCAGACGGATCCATCAAGATGCAGATGAGGCGGCTTGGTAACACCAAGACCCCGGGAATCTCTGGACGGGTCAGTAACCACGACAACCCTACGCCCACTAACACACCATCACATCTAACCACCTGGCCCGTCTCCTCAGACCCCTCAGGACTACCAGGACTCGTATGTTAGAAGGCTGACCCAGGAGGGGTCGAAGGTCAGCCCCCTCCACTCCTTCGCCTATGACGCTGTGTGGGTGACTGCCAAAGCTCTGACTCAAGTGATGGAGGCGGTGAAGCACAGAGAGAAGTATAGCAGCCGGAGAAACGTGAGCCTCAGTGGGGAAGAAGTCCAGAAGACACTGCTGGAGGCTGTGAAGCAGACGCAGTTTGAAGGAGTCACGGTGAGCTCGCTGACAAACCGAAAGCACACCTGTAGTACACCAACGACACACCTGTAGTACACCAACGACACACCTGTAGTACACCAACGACACACATGTAGTACACCAACGACACACATGTCCCGGAATAATGAGGATGCGGCTGAGGGTTTCAGTGTACAGTCTTTATTTTATCGTTTGCAAGCACGACTGGCTCCAGCTTCCTTGTCTGCTCAGCACTCTCCTGCTGTCGCCTACTTAAAGGTAAAACACATGGCTTGATTAGTCCCACCTGAGGCTGATTATGCCTCCCCCGGCACCGTTCCCTGAACCACTCCCTTCTCCGTCCCCCATGCAGCCGAGCCAAACCACACCCGCCACCACATACCCCCACCGCCCGACTTAGGCCGGGGAGTCATCCGGCCAAACCTACTCCCCCCTCGCCCTCGAGAGGGCGGGAGAGGAAGTCTGCCACGACCATCTGCGTCCCCGGCCTATGGACCACCTTGAAATTAAAAGGCTGTAGAGACAGATACCACCGAGTGATCCGGGCGTTGGCATCCTTCATGTGGTGGAGCCATTGGAGCGGGGTGTGGTCCGAACAGGTGAATGAGCGTCCCAGGAGGTAGTAGTATAGGGAGTTGACCGCCCACCGGATGGCCAGGCACTCCTTCTCCACTGTGCTGTACCTGGCCTCCCTCTCGGACAGCTTCCTACTAATGTACACCACGGGGCGGTCCACCCCCCCACCTCCTGGGACAAAACGGTCCCCAGCCCCCTGTTCGACGCGTCGGTCTGCAGAATAAAGGGGACAGAGAAGTTAGGAGTATGAAGGAGTGGTTCCCCACAGAGAGCCTGCTTTACCTTCTCAAACGCCTGCTGGCACTGCTCCGACCACTGAACCGGATCTGACGCACCTTTCCGGGTCAAGTCGGTCAAGGGGCTGGTGAGGTCCGCGAAGCCGGGGATGAACCGTCTGTAACACCCCCCCAGCCCCAAGAACCGCCTCACCTCTTATTTTGTCTTGGGCCGCGGGCAGGCCGCGATAGCTGTCGTCTTGTCTACCTGAGGGCGCACCTGCCCGCCCCCCAAGTGGTACCCCAGATACCGTACCTCCACCCGTCCAACTGCACACTTCCCCGGTTGGCGGTGAGCCCCGCCCGTCCCAGCGCCTCCAGCACCGCGCCCACCTGCCGCACATGCTCCGCCCAAGTGGTGCTGTGGATAATTACGTCGTCCAGGTAGGCGGCATCTGCCAGTAGCCCTTGGTTAAATCCAGTGTCGTGAAGAAACGTGCAGTGCCTAGCCGGTCCAGGAGTTTACATGATTCACGTCATTCACCCTGCGATAGTCCACGCAGAAACGTACAGATCCATCCTTCTTAGCCACAAGGATGATGGGGCTGCACCAGGCACCGTTGGACTCTTCTATTACCCCCAACTCCAACATACTCGGCAATTCCCAACGAACCACTTCTTTCTTGTGTTCGGCAACCTGTAGGGTCTCGACCTCACCGTCACGCCCGGGGGCGTCTCGATACTGTGTACTATGAGGTCGGTCCGGCCTGGCAAGGGAGAGAACACATTAGCAAACCGCTCCTGCAACCTGGCGACGTCCGCCCTCTGGCTCTCGGAGAGATGAGCGTCTCGAGGGAGCGTGGTATGATTACCTGCTTTTGGAACCTGCGGCCCCAGCTCCTCCCTTTCCAATACTGCAGAGACCAGAGAGACGGACTCCACCCCCTCCAGGCTTTCAGGAGGTTCAGTTGGTATATCTGTGTACCCCCGCCCCTGTCAGACCGCACCACCTCGTAGTCGACGTCCCCCACCTGCCGTGTGACCTCGAAGGGCCCTTGCCACTTGGCTAGGAGTTTAGAGTTGGAAGTAGGAAGTAATACAAGTACCTTTTCTCCCAGTGTGAATCGTCGCAGCCTGGCCCCTCTGTCGTACAGCCGTTGTTGTCGCTCCTGGGCCTGCAGCAAATTCTCTCGTGATAGCCATCCCAGTGTGTGGAGTTTTGCTCCTAGGTCTGGGACGTACTGGATCATTCTTCCAGAGGCTCGGACCTTCCTCCCAGCTTTCTTTAATCCGGTCCAGCACCCCTCGCGGCGTCCTGCCAAACAAAAGTTCAAAGGGAGAAAATCCTGTGGAGGCCTGGGGGACCTCCCGCACTGCAAACAACAGAGTGTTAAGCCAGTGGTCCCAATTATGTTCATCGTCGCTAATAAATTTACGGATCATGGACTTCAGAGTCTTATTCATGCGTTCCACCAGCCCGTCCGTCTGTGGGTGATACGCGCTCGTACGAATGGACTTAATGCCCAGTAACCCGTAAAGTTCTCTCAGTGTGCGCGACATGAACGAGGTGCCCTGGTCAGTCAGAATCTCCTTAGGGATTCCAACTCGGGAGATGACCTGAAACAGAGCCTGCGCAACGCTCTTTGCAGAGATATTGCGCAACGGCACTGCCTCCGGATACCGCGTTGCGTAATCCACGAAACCTAACACAAAGCGATATGCGCGTGCCGCCTGGAAAATAATTTCCCGGCGGCTTTTCCGAGCCAAACCACGCCCGCCACCACAGTAGTACACATACAATTATTACACACCTGTAGTACACTATGTCATACCTGTAGTACACCAACGGCACACCTGTAGTACACTATGACATACCTGTAGTACACCAACGGCACACCTGTAGTACACTATTACACACCTGTAGTACAATATGACATAACTGTAGTACACCAACAGCATACGTGTAGCACACAAACGACACACATGTAGCACACCGAAGTGTATGTGTGTATATTTGTACACACACACATATATATATAATCGTACGCATGTGTTTTTCAGGGTTCAGTGTTCTTTCGTAACGGAGAGAGAATGGCGGCAATCGATCTGATCCAGTTTCAAGGTGAAAGACAGTTAGCAGCGTTATTATTGTCATTGTTACCAATCAGCAGTGATTATATTGATTATTGGTTACTGATTAGCACTGTGTCCTCAGGCAGCAGTGGGGTGTCAGTGGGGGACTTCAGTACTTCCACACAACAGCTGCGTCTGGTAAACCACCTGCTGAAGTTCCCAGGTGAGACCCTGAACGCATTACAGACCGTCTCAGGGAACGCTGCTCAGTGTCGATGCTAACGTGTGCTGCTGCAGGTCCAGGACCGACCAGGGACCGGACCCTGGTCGTGGTGCAGCGGCAGCATGTCAGCTTCCTGCTGTACGGCATTATATCATCAGCTGCAGCCGGGACCATCTTCATCACGCTGGCCCTCCTCTTCTTCACCGCCATCTGCCGTAAACACCGGTGCATCCTCTCATTCCTGTCTCCTAGACCTGTAGAACACAGCTGTAGTACCTGAACAAACAATGATGTGATTGTGTTTATGTTGTTGTCCATTATTGTTAATATTCATGATTTACGATATGCACTATCCTTCTATGTGATGTTTTTTTGACACATCCTCAATTTGCATTTACAATAAGGAATCAAATAAAATACAAAAATACAAAGAATTGATTTCGGAGAAGGCAAAATGCCCACCTGGGTACAGAAACACATACTTGTCTTAAGAGCAAAGTGTTGTTGTGTCTGCAGGCCGCTCACGCTCAGCGATGGATCGGAGGACGAGCTGCTGCTGCTCGGCGTCCTGATGTCCTCCTCCTCCATCTTGGTCTCCGGTCTGGACGGAGCCACGTGGTCCCTCTGGACCTCTGAGCTCCTCTGCTCTGTGAGTTCAGACTGCTTTATACAGGAGTACTGCTCATATTGTTCTTTTCACTGAACTACATTGATTTGGCAACGTTGGTTATGAAAAAGATCAGTATGAATTATTATCATGGATGAAGATTCAATTCATTTTATTTTGTATAGCCCAAAATTACAAATTAGCCTCGGAGGACTTTACGGTCTGTACACATGCAACATCCTCTGTCCCGAAACCCTCACATCAGCACAGGAAAAACTCCCCAAACAATGAAAACCCTTCCATGGGGAAAAAAGGGAAGAAACCTCAGTGAGAACGTCAGAGGAGGATCCGTCTCCTGATGGACAGACTACAATGATGACACAATAAACAATGTAGAAGATGAAAAATTCATATGACAGATATGATTCAAATAATGTAAGTAGGTGTACGGCAGGACCACTGCAGGGACAACCACCACCAGATAGAACCCCCATCCGATAGAACCCCCATCACATAGAACCCCCATCACATAGAACCGCCATCACATAGAACCCCCATCACATAGAACCCCCATCACATAGAACCCCCATCACATCGAACCGCCATCACATAGAACCCCCATCAGATAGAACCCCCATCAGATAGAACCACCATCACATAGAACCACCATCCACAGAAGCCTGTGGGAGGGAAGCACAAAGACTTTAAGAGAGGGTAATGTTGGTTTATGATGACAGTAATAATAATAATATGATGATGGCAGCAGCAGGTGTCAGGACCAGGGTCCAGAAGGAACTACAATCTACGGAGACCTGCTAGGGGAGAAAGCACAAAAAAAACCTCCCGTAAAGAAGCTGAATTAGTCATGTGCATTAATAAAACGTGAATTATTGTAGAACGGGAGCGTGAGAGAGGAGCTCGGTGTGTCCTAAGAATTCCCCCGGCATTCTAAGCCTATAGCAGCTTAACTAAGGGCTGGTCCGGGCTAACCTGAGCCAGCCCTAACTATAGGCACAATCAAAGAGGAACGTTTTAAGTTTTATCTTAAAAAATAAAGATGCTCTACCTTCACCAGCTGCTACATGAACTTTCAACATCATGCTTATTGTGGTGCTGGCGGTACTGGAGCTGTACTAGCATACCTTGTACACAGTAGTATTGCTATTCCACGTGCCGTCCCGTTGGCTCCACAGGTGCGCCTGTGGACCGTCTCTCTGGGCCACACAGTGGGCTTCAGCGTTCTGTTCATCCGAACCTGGAGGCTTCACTCGCTCTGCAGCGTGAGGCACAAGCCGGCCGGCCGCGTTCTGCTGCTGCTGCTGCTGCTCGATGTGTCGCTTTTAAGCACCTGGCAGACCGTAGACCCTCTCAGGCGGGTGGAGCTTCAGTTGAGACCACAGGTAACAACCACACAGGAAGGTTCCCCGATCCATCTGTTAAAGTAAAGTGAAGGTACATAGCTATCATCAGGAACTTGTGTTATTTATTATGAAGAACTTAATTAAAGCTCAAAGTATCAACATTTATTTCTCTTCTATTGTTAAGTAAAACTGTATATAAATGAATTGCATACATAGTTTTGTTTTTGTGGAGTATAAATTACAAAGCAGCAGTACATTGATATACCATGAGCGTAAGTTCCCCCTCTGACCTTTGACCCCTAAGAAGGCCGACCCGGGGCTGATGTTCTAATCCGTTGTCCTTCAGAGTGTCCCGGCTCAGGACGAGCTTGTCCAAATGTTTTCTGAAAGCTGCAGCAGCTCCAACATGCAGCTGTGGATCGCTGCTGTGTGCGGATCCAAAGCTCCTACAATGGTCAGCTCTGATCCGTAGAACCATGGAACCAGAGAGTCATAGAACCGTGGAACTGTGAAACCATAGTCGTAGAACAATAGTGCCCTACAACCATGGAAACAGCGCCATTAAACCACACCACCAGAGATCCATGAAACCATAGAACTAGAGAGTCCTGGAACCTTAGAATCGTGGAACCATAGTCATAGAACCCCGGAGCCATAGAGTCATAGAACTATTGGGCCATAGAAGATCTTCTCACCTAAAGGTTCTGCTCCCTCCCCGTGCTCCAGGCTCTGGGCTGCCTGTTGGCATGGAGCGTGAGGTCACCGGGTCGTCCACAACCTCTCACGCAGTGTGTAGTTGCCGTGACGACCTTCAGTGTGTCCGGCCTGCTGGCGTCGCTGCTGACGGCCCACAATCCTCCTCTCCAGCTGGGCGTCAGCGGCGTCCTCGTCCTCTGCTGCAACCTCTTCGTCCTCGGCTGGCTCTTCGGGCCGAAGGTTAGCGCGACCTTCAGAGAAGCGAGAGGCGTCTTGATGCTCTGTTCCTCTGACGTGGTTCTTTCTCTTCAGTTCCTGTATGGAGACGATGAGCTGGGAGACAAAGAAGAAGAGGAGGTGAGGGGGAGGAGCCTGAGCGGCCTCAACCTGCAGCTCTGGAGTCACAACGCACAGGTGAGTGGTACGCCAATGAGTTGATGCTGCAGCCATGTGCCGCAATCCATGTGTCACGTGTGATATGCTACCTTCTATGTGCCCCGTTCCATGTGTCACGTGTGATATGCTACCTTCTATGTGCCCCGTTCCATGTGTCACGTGTGATATGCTACCTTCTATGTGCCCCGTTCCATGTGTCACGTGTGATATGCTACCTTCTATGTGCCCCGTTCCATGTGTCACGTGTGATATGCTAACTTCTATGTGCCCCGTTCCATGTGTCACGTGTGATATGCTACCTTCTATGTGCCCCGTTCCATGTGTCACGTGTGATATGCTACCTTCTATGTGCCCCGTTCCATGTGTCACGTGTGATATGCTACCTTCTATGTGCCCCGTTCCATGTGTCACGTGTGATATGCTAACTTCTATGTGCCCCGTTCCATGTGTCACGTGTGATATGCTACCTTCTATGTGCCCCGTTCCATGTGTCACGTGTGATATGCTAACTTCTATGTGCCCCGTTCCATGTGTCACGTGTGATATGCTACCTTCTATGTGCCCCGTTCCATGTGTCACGTGTGATATGCTACCTTCTATGTGCCCCGTTCCATGTGTCGCGTGACGCATGAGTTTATTTTCAGCTGGATTCAGACATAGAAACCCTCCGCTTGCAGCTCTGTGAGGCGACGCAGCCGAAGCTTCAGCGCGGCACCAGAGGACGAGACTCAGGTAAAGACACACAAGAGGTTAAGACTGATCTGAAATCAGCTGAGCTCAGTACACTTAGTTAACCCTCGCTCCATCAGAAAAGAAGAGGAAGCCTATGAAAACGGGCTTGGAGCAGACAAACAGACGTCCATGTAGGAGACATTATTGAAATACATGTACCTCAGGGTGCTCTCGAGCAACATATGGAGTAAGACGCAAATTTCAGTGCTCCTGCAAAACCGACAATATTTTGATTAAAAAACAGTAATGCTAACCACTATAAGGACTGACCAGTGAGTTTTGCAATTTTACATACTGTATTGTCACATCATTATTTCCAAATGTATTTTTTGTCACTCAGTCCCTCTCCTACTCACAAACCCTGCAATCACCTTGATCTTCACTAGAAACTGCTCTACCACTAACATCTCTGTAACTCCACTTCATGTGTCTGACCACTTCTTCATCTCTTACTCTCTGTAACTAACGACCCCATCAACTGACTCTGTACCTGTTCGTGGCAACCTGTCTCAGGCTCTGCTCGACGGCCGCACCTACCGGGTAACCTGGCGAGGATCTGTGTCGGAACCTTGTCTTCTTACTACTGGAGTTCCTCAGGGTTCCGTCCTGGGTCCCCTCATCTTCTCGCTCTACACCAGCTCTCTCGGTGCTCCACTGGTCTTTAACCTTCCTCCCACACTCCTCCGCTCTCTTCACTGGTACCGGTGGCTCATCCAGTTCTAAACATGGTGCTCACGTACCATGCTGTGAATGGATGGGGTCCAGCTTACATCCAGGACCTGGTCCAACCCGACCTCTGACCTCTCCGCTCTGCATGTGATAAACTGCTTGTTCCTCCTCACTGAGAGCAAAACACTCGACTAGATCTCCACTCTTTGCTGTCCTGCTCCTAAATGGTGGAAGGAGGTCTCTGAAGACATCAGGACCACAGAGAGCCTTCACATCTTCAGACTAAAGACACACCTCTTCAGACTCTACCTCCAAAGACTTGGAAAATAAGCATAAACAATCAGCGTCATCCAGTTTTCTAACCAACTTAAACGCTACCCGTAGAGAACTCAACAGCCTGTTATCAGAAAACATTGATGGAAGTTTGAGATTCACAAACCAGAGATATTACGAACACGGTAACAGGACAAGCAGATTATTAGCATTCAGATGAAGAAAACAGCAATCATCTAACACGGTACATACAATAAAATCAAGAGAAACGTTTGTTACAAAACTGGATAAAATAGCAGAACTCTTTGTAGAGTTTTACGAATCTTTATACAAAAACACCGATACCTGCTCTGATGATGCAAAACTCAGAGTTCCTAAATCCCATCAGGAATCAGGAATCAGGAAACATTTATTAGCCAAAATATGTCAAACATACAAGGAATTTGTCTTGGCGATTAGTGCGCGACAGTAGACAGACAAGACAACAGTGCACAAGTAATAAAATAAAGTGGAATGAAATGCTAATGCAATGTGTTAGTAGAATAAGGCTATGGGTTAGTATAAAACAAGAGAATAAAGTTAAAAAAATTTAAATATTAAAAGTAAAAAAGAAAAATATTAAGCATAAAGTGCACTAACAAACAAGTAACAGACAAGAGACAAAGTGACAAGTGACAAAGTGATGAATTGCATTTAAAGTGTCATGTGCAGTATGAGGGGGAGTGACCGGTGGAGTGTTATAGTCAGGCAGTGGGGGACCGGCTCTGTTGATGAGCCCGACTGCCGACGGGAAGAAACTGTTGGTGTGGCGGGAGGTCGTAGTCCTGATGGACCTCAGCCTCCTGCCAGATGGAAGGGGCACAAACAGTTTTTGTCCGGGGTGGGAGGGGTCGGCCGAGATCTTTTTAGCTCGCTTCATGAAGCTAACTGAACCGACAGAATCAGCAGCTAAGGAACTAGATGATACACATATATGTATATATTATAATATATTTTAGATATTATCAAACTGACTGAACCCTGTGTGCTCAGCAGGTGGACTCAGATCTGTGACATGGTCCCATGCGGCTCAGGTCTTCTCTGAGGAACGGAGCCCGGCTTGGGACCCTTTGAGTCCTGACGGCATCAACTCTCCTGAACAGTGAGAAACTTTCCTCCTCCCCGCGTGTCACTGCGCTAATTATGTACTCCAATCAGGCCGTTGAATTTGTACTGTGATCCTGTCAGTGTGAGGCGCCGCCTGTCTGTCCAGCTGCCGATCCTCCATCACTCCTACCTGCCGGCCGGCGGCGTGAGGGCCAGCAGCTCCAGGATGTTCTGGGACGACAGCTACTTCCTGTTCCCCGACCAATCAGACGGTGGCTGTGACCATGTCACTGAGGAGTAGTGGCAAAAGGACTCTTTTACTTCAATACTACATTGATCTGTCACATTTATTCCAAGTAACTATATAAATCTGATAGTTGTTTAATCAGCTGATCACTGACCCGATAACCGGCTGTTGGGAGCTGCAGTTTGACATGTTGGATTTATACAGATTAGAGATGTAGGATTAAATTGTGATAATAAATAAATAATCTGTATTTAAAGTTTACAGGTTGCAGGATAAAAGTTGAAGAAAGAAGAAGAAAACAACAACATACGTCTTGATTTATATTTGTTTGCGTTAACCATGAAAAACATTTTTAATGAAGACGATATTGATGTTCCTCCCATGTATGATGGGGTGTAATGAGGTGTGGTGATGTTTGTCGTTGGGGTGTAATGAGGTGCTGGTGACGTTTGTCGTTGGGGTGTAACGAGGTGTGGTGATTGTCGTTGGGGTGTAATAACGAGCTGTTGACGTTTGTCGTTGAGGTGTAAGAGGTGTGGTGATTGTCGTTGAGGTGTAAATGAGGCGCGGTGACGTTTGTCGTTGGAGTGTACTGAGGTGTGGTGATTGTCGTTGGGGTGTAATGAGCTGCGGTGACGTTTGTCGTCGGGGTGTAATGAGGTGTGATGATTGTCGTTGGGGTATAATGAGGTGCGGTGGCTTTTGTCGTTGGGGTGTAATGAGGTGTGGTGATTGTCGTTGGGGTGTAATGAGGTGTGGTGATTGTCGTTGGGGTGTAATGAGGTGCGGTGACGTTTGTCGTTGGGGTGTAATGAGGTGTGGTGATTGTCGTTGGGGTGTAATGAGGTGCGGTGATGTTTGTCGTTGGGGTGTAATGAGGTGTGGTGATGTTTGTCGTTGGGGTGTAATGAGGTGTGGTGACGTCGTTGGGGTGTAATGAGGTGTGGTGACGTCGTTGGGGTGTAATGAGGTGTGGTGATGTCGTTGGGGTGTAATGAGGTGCGGTGACGTTTGTCGTTGGGGTGTAATGAGGTGCGGTGACGTTTGTCGTTGGGGTGTAATGAGGTGCGGTGATGTTTGTCGTTGGGGTGTAATGAGGTGCGGTGACGTTTGTCGTTGGGGTGTAATGAGGTGACATGACAGAACTCGTATGAGCTCACGGCCTCCACTAATCACACATGTGAAGAATGTGACTTCAATGTCTTGGTTCTCTTTTTAGATTTTACCCCTTCCTGCTTCTCATAATATTCACGTTAAAGGACAATTCATGCCCCTGCCTCCTGCTTCGTTAAAGTTTCCTGTATCACAGCATTCCCCTTGTGATAAATGGGGATATTAACCTCAAAGCAAAGGAGCAGGTTTATTCAGGTTATTCTGCCAGAGGAGAATCTTTTCATCATGTTCTACCAGTGGGACTAAACCAAATACAACAGGATGTTCTATTGTACGTGTCTATCTGGTTGATCAGTGTTCAGACGCCTTTGGATGAACTCTTTGTAGATAGTTATGAGGAGCAGAATCAAACCGGAATCTGACCTCCGGCGTGGGGCGTCACACAGACGGTGGTGGAGCTTGAACCAGGCCACTGTCAGCTCTTCATCATCATAGTCATCGTGTGGTCTGTCTTAGTATTTCCTTGATTCGTGGCCGGGACTCGTTCGTTCCAAATCATCGCTCACACAGAGGGATCACATGTCCCTCAGCTCCTTTAATTCCACATCAATGACTGTTTGCTGCTGCCTTTAATTGTCCATTTCATTCTTAAAGACATTTTTAAACTACACTGCAAATTTTATTTTATTTTTTTAACGTCTCTTTAATGACTTTCTTTTACGTTCAATCAATGTTCTTCACTAAATCTCCTTGCTTGGATGTTTTTAATAGTTTTATGCATTTTGAGTTGCCTTGTTGTTGAAATGTGCTATAGAAATAGATTGCCTTGCCTCCCACTAGCGAGCAGAGAGGGGGAGGAGCCTCTCCTGATAGGATGGTTCTCCAAAGGTTCCGACAGATTCATATTAAATCAATCAATTGTAATCTCTCATTTTGGGCTTGGCTCCATTGTGGGTCGGCTGCCGCTTCTCCCCATCCTGTGTGTTTGTGTCTTCTTGTCCTCTGTGTGTCTGTCTGTGCTGTTTGTCCCCACCTACCAGAGGCGTGGCCGTCCATCCTGCTCCGTCCCACACCGCTGATCCACATTCCATGATTCCCCCCGCAGTTCTTAGACCCGGCTGCTCGTTCGTTACGTCCTCCCACGTGGTAACGTGTCTACCTGGTGGTCTCTGGGGGTCTTTGTGTCTCACCTCACCTGCCGTACCGCCTGCTTCACTCGGGTTCATCTCCCCTTGAGGATCGGCGCTCATTGATTCCTTGAAGCCGTTGTCTGTGTCCGGTGTGGAGTCCTATGTGTGGCGGTTGTACTCTTTCTTGCGTTGTGTTTTTAGAATCACCAGCAGGCTCCGATCGGCCGTTTATTTTGTGACGTTAAGAGACCCTGGCGAACATGCAGGAGGTTAGCGTCTTCTAGTGATGGCAAGTTCGGATCTTTTTACCGACTCGGTTCTTTGAATCTCGTTCAGTAAAATGAACAAATCTTTTTTCGAGTCATTCGTTCCTGTCGGGGGGGGGTGGGTGGTAAGATATTACCGACCATTTTATTGACTCGGTTCTTTGAATCTCTTTCAGTAAAATGAACGAATCCTTCTTCGAGTCATTTGTTGACGGGGGGGTGGGGTTAAGGGTTAGGGGTTAGGGTTAGTCATCGGTCATGACTAATCGGTCATTGATTTGTTCATTGAGCCGATGCAAGTCCCGATGCGTGGCCACGAGGAAATGGACTAATCTTTTTTGAGAG